AGGGGACAGTGCCGCAGCTGGGGTAATAGGGGTTAGAGTTACATCATCCATTTCAATAGCAGCCTAATTTACCCTGGCGTTCCCCTCTCACACACTGGTAGGGGTGTATACAGCTCAGATGTTGGGCAAAGCTGCGTGTGAATGCGCACGGCCTCTGCAGCTAGCAGTGGATCAGTTCCTAAAAGGGGCAGTGCTGTAGTCACCTCTCGCTAGCATGGAAACCTTGTGAACTATGACCGGCAGAGGCTTGCACCAGAGCGTTTTGAAGGCCGCTCGAGCAGGGCCGGCTCCAGGCACCAGCCCACCAAGCATGTGCTTGGGGCGGCGCCTGGAGGGGGGTGCTGCGGTGGGGCCCCGGCTGGGCTCGCCGCCCTCCCCCCGGTGCTCCGGCTGGTCGGGGAGAGCGGAGAGCCCCGGCCGGGCTCGCTGCCCTGCTCCCGGCGCTCTGGCCGCCGGGGGCTCTCCACCCTCCCCCCGGCACTCTGGCCGCCGGGGAGAGCGGAGAGCCCTGGCTGGGCTCGGCGCCCTCCCCTGCCGCAGGTGCATGTGAGAGAGAGAAAAAGGAGAAACGAGGAAAGGGAAGAATCACTTACAGCTTCAATGGTTGTTTTCCTCTTGTCTATCCAGCTGCTGCTTTGCAGTTCAGCCTTTTCCTTCATAATGGCTATTGAAAACAATCCCAAGCCCATACCCCTGGTAGAAGCTCAAGATAGACACAAGGACTGAGGCCAGGAGCAAATTAGAGATTGTTTCTGTGATGCAAGAACTCAAAAAAACAAACAAACAAACAAAAAAAAACCAATTGGTTAATGGGTCGCAGCCCAGTTCTGTTGGGAGCTAAAATTGCTACCATCTGACAGCTGTTCAGCTGGTTGCATTAACCCAGCTTTTGACTTCACAGCGCATAAAAGCCACCACCACCACCACAACTGGGGCTAATTGGCCTGCTTGGTGCAGTCTCAGCAGAAAGGCAAAGGACTGAATGGGCCACAGCTGGTGTTTTCCCATCTCCCACACGGAGGCGAAGGCACATTGGCACTGGCAGGCCCGGGCCCTCTGTGCTGAGGATGAAGCAAAGTCAATGGCATTATCAATCGGTCCCTTTACAAAGGCAGAAAGGCATGAATGGTTACTTACAAACCCTTCTCATTTGACAATTAAGTTTTGTAGGCCACATGCTCGGAATATTCTTACATATTCTATGTTGCTTTGCAATTGTTAGTACAAAGGCTGAGGGCGGGAATTCATCCTATCCTACCATTCGCAATTCCAATTTCTCCCCTCTCCACTGTCCAGACACTTGATCCAGACCCTGATTTGGCCTGGGCAGCTGTGAGGGGAGCCTGGCACGGATTGTGACCCATGGAGAGCGCTCCATATGTATTGGGGAATGGAGCAGCAGAGTGGAGCACAGCTCATTTGGCCCACAGCATGTGTATACATTTTATCACGCCTTCTCATAGGAATACGCTCATGACAACTTGCCCCCACCTCAAATGCACGACTGGTTTTCAGTGTTTATTTCAAACGTTAAAGCATGGTGCAATTTATGGCCCACCGTTCACAGCAGATTCTCCAAGTGTGCTTTCAATGCACTGCAGCCTGTGAAGAAGCAGAAAGCCATTGCAATGCAGGGCGTCGAAAACCCGAAGAGTTGTATTGTGGTTGCTAGTAGCACTTGCTGTTAAGCTTGCACATCTGTTTCTATTACCACCCCCCATCTTCACACCAGTGGCATAGCCAGGTTCTAAGAGCAGGGGGAGCAAACATAAAAAAGGCGCCCCCCCTTGGCTCCTCCTCCGGCCACTCCACGCCCCCCCCCCGGCTCCTCCAGCCACACTGCGGCTATGCTGCGCTCCCCCATGGCTCCTCCGGCCACGTCCCCCCCACTCCCATGGCTCCTCCGGCCATGCTGGCCGAGCTGAATTCTCCATTTATGGACAGAGTGGCTGGTGCTGGGCATCGGCTGCACAGGCGGAGTGGCAGCGGGGGGCTCTCGCTCCCACTCCCGGGCCGGGCACACACCAGCTGAGGAGCCGAGTCCCCGTCAGACCATGAGAGGCCACTGACACCTGCCCACCCGCCCGCATGGGGTCCGCGCTGGCCTCCCCTCTGTGCCACTACGGTGCCGGGCACCCCCCTCGCCGGGCCCCCCAGGCGGAGGGTGAAGGGGGAGGAGACTGAACATTCTAGAGCCCGGCGGGGTTCTAGAACGCTGGACAGCAGGCCGGGGCGCTCTCCCGGCCGAAGGGGAGGGACTCAGTCTCTTCCCTGACTGGGGAGGGCGCGGGGTCCCGCTGGGTCTCCACGGCCTCGCTTGGGCTCGAGGAGGCGGCGGCGGCTCTGTGGAGCTGGTAGTCCGGGTAGGGGTTGCTGAACGCCCGCTGCTCCATCTCCGCCTCGCCCCCCAGCTGCAGCTTCAGTTGCTTGGACATGCTCTCTCCCATGGCAGCCTGCCCCTGGCCTGCCCCCTGCTGCATGGCGAGCCGCCAGGGACACGCGACCGCCTCGAGAGCAGCAACGCGCTCCCTGCTGCAGCGGCAGCACTACGCCAAAGGCTAGGGCAAAAGCCGACACTAGCGCCGGGGAAAACGCGCCCTGCCTTGATAATAATGCAGTGGGGCCTCTTCCCCATGGCTCCTCCGGCCGCGCTGCAGCCAGCCCCCCCCCCCCCATGGCTCCTCCGTCTGTGCTGCCTCCCCCCCCTTGCCTGCAGGAGCCCAGCGCCGGCCCGGCAGGACAAGCTTCAGAGCGGAGCGTGGGCCCTGCCCACTGGCGCCATGGTAACCCCTAACTAAGGCACCACTTTTGGAAAATGTGCAGAGGGGAAGTGGCTGCTTCCCCTGCACCCCTCTAGCTACGCTACTGCTTCACACACTTGCAGATTCCCAGCACATTCCTTCTTCGGCCAAACGTTTCCATACCAGTCTCTGCCAAGGTGATCTTTAAATTAAAGTACTTGCTTCTGGCCATTAAACACTGACATTAATCACAGGCATATATTTTCTTTAAAAGCAGAGGAAGTGTAAAACAGAGTTCAAATGACATCAGCATTTCACAATTAAAGCTCAGAAGTAAAAAATGCAAAGGCCAAGGTCTCGACAGTAATAACGAGAGACTGTCAATCTAGTCATTCATTTCAGACCCTATTGTGGTGCCCCTAACCCCCTTCCAATTTTTGTGGTTTTCCAAGCCTATTTGCCTATTGTAAATCACACTTCTCTCTCCCCTGTGGCTACAGAAAAGACCCAGGCACAAAGAGGAAACCGACGAGAGAGAGAGAGAGAAATCAGTGCAATTAACTATACATAAAAAAAGTGTTCAGAGGTGCTGAGCAGTTTTAGCAACCAGACTTAAAACAGAATAGTGGGTACTCAGCACCTCTAAAAATCAGACCCCAAGTGCTGTCCAAGGCATCAAGTGAACCAACTGTAAACATTCCCTTAATCTCTTCCAGTTACACTCATCTCAGGCATTCCTTCTCGTGAGCCTGGGGGAATGCATTTTTAGAAGAGTGTGATTGAGTCAGCAGTGTCCCTTTCAAAGGGCCACAGAGCACTTCCTGTTCCTGTAAGACACAGGCCAGAAGAAATCCAGGGTGCACAGCGTGCTCAAGCTACTGCTGGAACCACAGCTTCTGCATTTCCTGATGCTTCATGGTTTCAACCGTGGAAACTCAGAGCCCAGTTCTGTACTCTCCTGAGCAGCCCTTGGGCGGACGTGTCAGACTGCTGAAGTCAACAGGGTCCTCAGGTGAGTAAGTGGGCCGCTCCAGCAGATCCCTTTACATTGCGCTCATGCCACTTTCTGCACGTCACTGCTCTTTAATGCAAGAGAAGGCCGGGGACAAACTGCCCGAGAGAACATTCAGTGTAAGAGTTTCTAAAACTTCAGAATTTTGTTACCCTTAAATGTATTTGTTGAATTTTAAAAAAGAAAAGACGACTCCCATTTCACACGGAGGGATGGTGGCCACAGCAGAGTGGAAGGGAGTCTGTTCCCCTTGCACAACTGCAGCACTGTATAAATGATACTCATTCATCTCCCCAGGTTACTTATACCATGCCCATCCCGTAGGCACCAGAGCTTCTAGCTGGCAATTGTACTCACACGGATTCTAGTTGCACAGGCAGCCCTGGGACTGCCTTTGGCGTTGTTCTTCACCATTCAGTGATCTGCAACTACTTATATGCAGCTAAGCACCACAGGATGGAACGTCCAACCTTCCCACTGCTGGGTTTCAGGGACGCATTTGGCATGGCTGACGTCGGTGACTGAACCTCCCATGATAAAAGGGGACCCGCCTCCAAACCCAACAAGATTCCAGTTCCTCTTCCCTTTATGTTGCAGCCCCTCCTCGCCTGATGTCATCACAATGAGGAGTGCTCAGAGAGGAAGGCCGGATAATGCTGGCTCCACAGCCCAACACCATTGCATGATTTCCACAGATGAGGTCGCTGGGGGCAACACAATGAATGGGGGCATTGAGCAAGCAGCATGCATGGTGAACCTAGCCTCTGCCAGCCTTGAGATCAGAGGGCCAAGACCCCATCCTGCTTCTGCTGGAATCAATAGGCAAAACTCCCATGGCACAGACTTGTGCACATTCTGCTCTGTTACCCTCCACACATCCATAGTAACCTCATGGAAGTCTATGGAGTTACTCCCAATTTACACTGCAGCAACAGCAGGATTTGGCTCTCGGTGTGGCAACGGTTTGTGCTGCTAGTAGAGCTGTAAGGCTGTCATCATTGTACGCTCCCAGGGCTTTTATACCACCCCTGGCTAACAGGGGCAGGAAACGCCTCGCTGAGTCTGCCAGGCCCAAAGGAAGCTCACTCTTTCCTAGGTTAATAGTGATTTTCAACACTCAACCACTTCTGCTTTTAAAATCTGTGTCAGCATTTATGGGGTTATGACAACAGCATCTCCCAGTCCTTCCCTCCTCTGCCATCCCTTCCTTCCTGGGGAAACAGGAGAAAAAAAAGCCCCCCAAAGAGTAATGGTAACAGCTTTTAATTTGACAAGAATACATCAGTTCAGACAATACTGGTTTTGCTTCTTGTTTGGAGTTTCCTTCACATACCAGCAGGGAGAGGGGAATTTTGTCAGGAAGTACAGTTTTTCCTTGGGGCTTAAAGCATGATCAGTGTGCAAGTCAGTGCTTCTTTTTTTGTTTAAAACTCTTTTCCCGATGATTTATTTACAGTTACAGTACCTCTTAGTGATCAACAGAAAAAAAATGTGTTAACTGGGGATACACGATCCCAAGTTGAGAAAGGCAGATCTCCGATATTTATATATTTATACATATATATATATATATATTTATGTGTATACACAGATACATTTCTCTCTTCTTTAAAGTATTAAAAAAATTGATCAACCTCCATTCTATAAAAAATACCTACTCTACAAGATAGAAAAATTTCCCTCTCAAAGTATACACCGATTTACACCCAAAGCTACTCTGGAAACGTACATTACGTGGCTTCTTCCCGCAGGCTCAGGGAGGGAAAAGGTCCACAAGGGGACAGCTTAGAGAATGAATGAGCAGGAGCTCTTGGCTTGCTGGGAGATGCTATACAAGGATGTGGGGAGGGAGAAGGAAGATGATGGCTCATTGCTCAGGTGTCCAGGGAAGAGAAAACGCAGCCCTCGCTGGAAGGCAGGTTGTCTCATCTCTCTCAGCAGTTATTACAAAAGACAAGACCAAGGGCATTGTGTGTTCACAGAATGCGACTGGGGACATCTCGAACATCCCAATGAGACTGGAGCTCCAGACCCTGCATGGGGGAGATGGAGTTGAAAGCAGTGACCTGCTGCCATCTGTCCCTGGAGTCGCTTTTTCTCTTACTTTAGTTTTCAAATGAAAACTGGGTAAGTCTGGGTTAAAGACTTAATAGAAGGCAAACCCGTATGAAGATGGACATTTTGCACAGGCATCCCGTGAAACCATCTCTCCATTACAGTGGGAAAGACAGGGACTGTCAGCACCACTGGGTGTTTTTGGGATCCCCCAGCTATTCTCACTCACACAGGCTCTTCACCCACATTAGAATCATCCTTTGGGTCTGCATGAATCCAGTTATGCAATTTCTTATGCCCTGGAAAAAGCCATCTGGGACCAAGGGCTTTTACTTTCCAGACATGGAATAAAATAAAGGAGAGTTGCCAGCTCAGTAGTTGTGATGGCCTAAAGGGGATTTTAGGGAAGCGAAGGGGCTGTGGTGTTTATCGCTCTCCAACTCTCAGCAGAGGGAGGATTTGGATCTGGTTTCCCTGGTAAGCAGCTGGACTAGCAGCTCAGATGACCCAGTCCGATGAGCACATTTAGGATGTTCCAGTGCAGACCAATGCACTGGGATTTTCCATATTTTGTACAAATTTGGGATTCAGCCTGGCTAACAGGGCCCTTCTGAAAGCTAACCAGGTGATTTAAAAATGAAATCACCCCCCTTTAAAATAGAAATCTACTGTATATTCAACATGCCAACTATGCCTGGAACCAGGCCGCCTTTCAGTTACAGAAATCAAAATCAAAGCCAAGGAAGTTGGATCATTTGGGTATGTGCTAGCCTGAAGGTTGTTCTGGTAGCCCGAGGGGAACAGGCATTTTTAATCAATGACTGTTTTTACTTATTGAATGATGCATTGTATAGGTTTTAAAATTCATTAAACCAGATGCATTGTACAAGACTTTTAAAATGCATTTCACACTAGCCTGAATGGGTCTGAAGTTAATATGGTTTTTGTTTCCCAGAGGCCTTCGATTTCAGCCTCCAGTCAATTGTACCCCTTAGCTTCCGAGCACCACCTTCACTGGGGTATAAGACTCAGTTGTAATCACTACACTGCAGGTGGCCTCGGTCGTCTAAGAAATCAAAACAGCAGCCGCCGGTCCCTGGTTTAGAGCCACTAAGCTACTCAATGAATGTGATAGCAAGCCAAGTGCATCGCAGCACAAGAATGGGGAGAACCCGGGCATGGAAAGGGCTCTACCTCCAGTGCTGCAGTATCATCAGCAGAGCCCACCTCTGACTGGATCATTGCAATACACTTCATGGTAACACTGGCATTCGTGCACATAGGGGACGATGGCGGAGGTCCTTGGCTCTCGAAACAAGCGTGTGAACGGTTCATGTTGGTCCCCTCTGCTAGAACTTACTCTGTTGCACCACTAGGGGACCAGCCTGAACAGCTGCGTGCCCACTTATGGCTGAGCACTACTACGGCTACATGGGTACTGTGGGCCATACAGCAGAAGTGAGGAGGACATAACAGCTACCAGGCTGGCTCCAAAGCATGCTAATTAACCATGAAGAAATCACAGCCCTTCCTTCACTCGCTCAAGGAAACAGCAGGATAGGGAGCCGCTGTCCTTCCATCTACAGCTGTGTGGCTTTCACCCCTCCCACTGATTGCTACCTTACTGCAGTCCTGTCCAACTCAGGTCCCATGGTTTGATAGAGAAGTGCTAACATCTGATGCTGAAGGAGCATGCCACAGAAGAGGAATGGGGAGTGCTGAAGAAAGCCACCCCTCTGTATTGTGCGAGGAATGGAGCCAGATGAACAGTGAATTTAAAGAAGATGCCATATGTGTAAAATGTTACCAAGCCAGAGAACAAAAATACAAATGCCGAGGCACGTGTCGAACTCCAGTTACACCCCCATATCAAAGATGGCCATTCCCCTGCCCCCTTCCTTCCACCCACTAAATGGAGAGAAGTCATCTAGGGTTCCTGCCTGCAACCCCCAGGAAGAGGGGGTGTGAGATGGTGCTAGTTGTGCAGACTGAGGGACGAACTTTGCACTAAGTTCAAAAACATTCTACGGGCGTGGAACGAACATTTCTTATTCACAAATCTGCCTCAGTAAGGGTGTCCTGGGCACTTTGGCAAAGCAGATTTCTGGGCTGTGCAGGGGAGGGCAGGAAATTATCTCAGAAGTCAATCAACTAACTTCTCCACCCCACTATTATTCTCTTTTCATTAAAGTTTCAGCAGAATGAATCTATACATGGCCCTGTATTTTGCTTAACTCCTTAGACCTATTCCCCACCCATGCGCCAAAAGGGATTTCAGGGTTACATATTGCAACAGTTCCAGTTAGCATTTGTCAGCCCCACTGTTTGATATGTTCCATCGACAGGGAGGCAGGTCCTTTCCTTCCCCCCTCCCACTCCACGTTTTGCTCCATTTATTCTCCAGATTCCCTTTCACCCCTTAAAGCCAGCAAGGGTCTTGAAAGAGAATCCAACAACAAAGCTTTGTTGCTGGTTTTCTTTTTCCCCGGGCACTGGATTAATTCACCCAGTGATCTGAAGTGACACTTCATGTGCCTTCATGGAGATCAAAGACATCCTAAGTCTCTCCTTTGCCTCTCAGTGTGCCAAGTCCACCCCAGATCAGCAGCACACAGTCTGCAGCTTTCGGCTTCCTTTACTTGACTTCCAGGATGGATGGGTTGGTTTCCATGATGGCCACAATGATCCTGTCAATGTAGTCTTGCAGGCGGAAGTTAATCTCCTCCTGCTTTTGAATTGCCTCCATGAGCTGTAGGGGAGGAAGAGGAGGAAGCTGGTTACTGATAGGCCACAAGTCAGGGCCACCTAGCATAGATTTCTTTGCAATTTTCACCCTCTACCGTTTGCTCAGCAAAATAACCCACCAGAGTCCGCTACAAAGGGTTCCTTTGTCCCACAAGCTGCGTCCTGCACAAGAGATTCCCTGCTCCAATTTTAGATTTAAGAGGAAAAACTGGATGTATCTTAAAAGAGCTACTGATGACACCAGGGCCGGCTCCGCCCCAAGCAGCCAAAAAAAAAAAAAAAGCCGCGGCCGTGATCGCAATCGCGATCTGCGGCGGCAATTCGGCGGGAGGTCCTTCACTCCGAGCCAGAGTGAGGGACCGTCCGCCGAATTGCCGCCGAATACCTGGACCTGCCGCCCCTCTCCCAAGCGGCCACCCCAAGCACCTGCTTGAGAAGCTGGTGCCTGGAGCTGGCCCTGGATGACATATTCATTCCTGTTACTGTCCAGCACAAACTCCAGTGAAATGTACGTCCTCCTCAAAACCCAGCTTCAGCTCCCTGGAATCCCCGTTGTTCTAGCTTCTTGTCTCTCGTGGGGGAATGTGGATTGGCTGGGGCGGCCATTAGTTGTTCCCTTCCACACTCAAGCACCTTCCACTAACAGAGCTGCTAGTCTGCCCAAGTCAAAACTAAGCCACAGGCTCATGCTGAATATTAACGTCGTGGGTCCTGTTTTCAAACCTGGAACCTCAGATGGCCAATTCATGCTTCCGGATGCACATATCAGGCAACCAAACACCTGTTTTAGGCACACGACAGCATGGGGACTTCAGCACTACAGTGTGAAAATTGAGCTCGTCACTGAGTTTCTTTAGGGTTTTGTGTTTATGGAATGAGTCTCACAATCCCTTATAGTCTTGCCTTTCCCATGAGAGAACGTGGATTCTTATACTCTTAGACACCTGCCCCCACTGACAGACAAGGTTTACTCCAATGCTCTTCCTCTAGCTGCCAGACAACGGCAGTGACTTGTCCCAAGAGAAAGGAATATTGCATGTATCTCACTCAAATAGCAACATTTCCTGTCTCACTTGGCTCCTGCTGGTGAACTCGTCTGTCCATGTGTGTAAGTGCCTGAGGTACAACTACATGAGAACTTGGTACAACAACCAGGGAAGGGGGAGAAGCATAAAGAGCACAGCCATGATGGACCCAGGGTCTCAGTCCTCCACCAATCGTAAGAGGCTAGCTTGAGATTTCTAAGGTATTAAGCAGACAACGTACATCATCTTCTTTACATTATCTTAGCAAGGGGGACATTACCTCATGAACAGCACAGCTAGCCCTTGGCTATAGCCTTGCCAAGGTGTGCACCACCATCTCAAGGAGCATCTGGTTTCTATGGGAAGCCATGACCTATGGCAAGTCACCACCTCTGCCAGATGGGCCCCTTTCTAATTGCAGCAAGCTGTAGAAAGGAATTGCTGTGGCTCTCAGCGGGATCCCTGGATTATCAGTAGTGATCTCTACTGCAGAGAGGGCACTTTCAGCTCCTTCCAGGCACACGTAGGTGCTTAGGAGCCAAGAGAGGGGATTAAAGACATCACTCATGCTAAAGAGGAAGCGGTTTGAGGTAAACAGGAATACACTTTCTCTAGACACCACACAGTACCTCATCTCTGGAGACCGAGCTGATTTCTGCAGCCAGGGACTCGGAGAAGGAAGCTGAGAAGAGGTTCTTGGCTCCCTGAATGCTAAGGTTTATAATCTGTCCATTCAGTTCGTCATTTTGTTCTTTCAGATTGCGGTTATCCTGCTCACAACAAAAAACAAGAATCAATACGTTCATAATTTACATTTCTAGAGCTCCACAGATGGCAGGTGCTGTAGGTGCTTTACGAAAGGGGTGCTCTACATTTTACAGCTGGTGGAATAGAGGGATAGTGAAGTTAAGTGAAATGGTCAAGGTGCCCTGGTGACTAAATGGCAGAGCAAGACCAGAATACAGCTCTCCTGACTCTTGTTCTCCCCTGAGCTAGCAGAGCCCTGGGAAGCTTTATTCAGTAGAGGAATGAATACATGCAACATGCTGGGGAGATTTGAACCCTCTTTTGTTCTGACCAGATTGATCTGTGATGGATCAGCGTTTCACTGGGGTATCTCCAGATACTGAAGTGAGGCTGAAATCTGTGCCTCACCAGCCATGGAGATCGTGTTCTGCAGTCCTCTGTTGAGCTGAGAAAGGCAAAGCATTCCCCCACAGTGAAACATGCTCATGTTCTCTGTGATACTTGGGCGGGCTATGACGATTCTCTCCCAGAAGAGGGTTTTAGGCCAAACAGACATGGTAGCTGTGACTATAGTGCTGAGATGTCTCCCCAGTGCCTCTCCTGTTTCCCATACACAATCCTAGCTGTCCTTTGCCAATGCTTAATCACACCTCCAGTGGCTAAAGAACAGGCCGGTGCAGTCCCAGGAGTCTACACCAGATAGTGAGGCTGGATATGGAAGTCCAAGTTGCTGTTGTGGTGTTGAATTGGTTGGCATCTAGTAGCCAAACCAAAACATCGCCCCCAGAATCCCAGTACCTGCTTGAGCCGCCTAATCTCTTGCTCCAGCTCCGTCTCCCGTGTCCTGCTATTGTACTCTTGGAGACCCACGCTGCTGCTTCTGCCTCTTCGCTGCTCCGCTTCAAGTTTGAACAGCTGCAGGTGCTCCAGCTGCTTTCGGAGGTCCTCAATCAGCTGCAATGCAATGAAGGAGAGCGATGGTGCTTGAGGGCCATAGTGCCACAGCGCTAAGCACTGAGTGAGCCTCCCTGCTGCACCAGAGAGGTGTGAGACAGCAGGAGGAGAGAGAACAGTCGATAGGAAGTGTACAGAAATCCCAGTTATGTTCTCAGTGTTATATTCCTGTCCTTTTCCTGTTAACACTGACTGTGCCCAAGTTCCTACCTCAGGCCTTTGCCATTACACCTTTACATCCACACAGAAATATGCCATGTTGAGCAGGCTGGTGAATCCTGACTTGTGCAGGCCTTAGAATGTGAATGCAGAGACAGACGCTGGAGTGAATTTTAATGTACATGAAAGCAAGGGACTAGGGACAGGCTGATGCCACACACAGGGCAGGTGCTGTGCCAGCTCCCAGTCCAGCTAAGCCAATGCACCCTTGCAGACTGCCTTCCAACGAGGCACTGCCAAACAGCAGTGGTTTGAAGAGTGGCAAACCAGCTAGAACAAGATGATCAAATACACTTTCACCTGTTACTCAATTTAAATCCCCTGTTGCTGGAGGAATAAGGCAAGAGCTGTTCCACCCAGCTGTGTCCATTGTAACTGTGAACACTAGACACACAAGCACGTGGAAACGAAAAAGCATGCAGGTAAGGGCAGCTGAAAGCATCAATTAATTTCTCTCCCTCCAGTTCATTGTATTTCTTCCATTTGGCAACAGCAGAGGCCACATTACAAGGTGCTGATAACAAGGTGAATTCATGGTGCAATTTGTATCTAGGGTTATCGAGGAACTAGAACAGCACTGAGCCCTGTGTACAGGACGCAGCATGTTGACCTCTGAGGAAAGTGCTTGTAAATAGTTGCAGTTTCTGCCGAGGACTCCAGGAAGACAGGTGTGGACAGGCTGAATGGTGTCAACTGTTCACTCTGCTCACCTCTTGAGTGGACTCCTTCTCCTTCTGGAATTGGTGTCTCTCCTGGGTCAGTTTGTCTCCCATTTTTCTCTTGCTTTCCTGCTCCTCATTGAATTGAGCAGTGAGGTCTTCTATCTCATCTATCAACTTCTGCTTCTCCTGCAACAAAGTTTAGCAAGATGAAATCACAAAACCTTCCCCACAGCACGGCAAGGCCCCTCTCCTGTCATTCGGAGAGGAAAGCACATATGCACATTGCCACATGGGAACATTCTTTTAGCCGACGTGCATTAGTTTGGACACTTTTGCCTGCTGTGCTTTCATCTGTTGTCTGAGAACATCACAGCCTCAGTGCTTTGCCAGCAGTAAACAAAATGCACCAGCATAGTCAGGAGAGATACGTAATAAATGACTCCTGCCATAAGCTCCATTTGAACAACTTCTTGCATCTGTACAGAGCCCAGATGGCTTCAGTGACTCTGCACAGGGGCAGGACAGAGTTGTTGCAGAACTGGGGCCTAAGCAAGGGCTACCGGATGAAAATTACATCAAATCAAAGGAATCCCTTAGTTTAAACAACAGCTGCCCTCTCAGAGAAGTTTATAATAGAGCCAGAACTCTGATCTCATTAAACCCTTTTTTATCCTGGGTTTTAGCTGAGCATGGATTTCACAGAGAGCAAATAGACAATGAAAGAACCCGAGCAATGTAAATTAGTATCTAAAACTGAACTACACCCATGGATTTTCAGAAGAACCCTTTTATTATTCTCCACCTTGGCTCGATGGTTGAACAGGGAAGTCAACTGAATTTGTTCAAACTTTAAAACCAAGTAAAACTCATTATTTAATTGTGACCAGAGCCTTGTGAGTGACAAGGTTTCTTTACGCTGCTGCTACTTTTCCCCATATGATCAGCCCCTCTCCCCAATGTGTCATGTGCTGCTCATAAGTTTTAACTTGGTTCCAACTTTAAAGGTGATTGCTGGAGTCACTTATTTTTATACATGCCAAAATTGTCCAAAAAAATTGTAGGTGCTTCACGTTATATGCCTGGAGAAGTGACCTAATTTTCAGGAGTGCTGAGCACCAACAGCCCCCAGTGAAAATTCAGTCACTTAATTAGGTGCAGACACTCAACTTTGCAAAATGTGTTACTAGTTTGTAACATGCATTGACATTTTCTGTGATGAAAGGTGCTTTGTCAATGTGAAATAATATTAACAACAAACAGGAAATCTATGTTTCAAACAAAAACAAAGGAGACATCCAGTTTATCAGCAGAGGGTTGCATCCTCCATGGAGAGCTAATTGCATCTGTTACTGCTCATTAGCCACATTAACTCTAATTTAAGCTAAAATAGAGATGAGCAATAACATGTTATGAGGAGAGGACAGTCAAGAATAAACACATCTCAGGTGGCTGAATGCACCTAGGAATCCTCACAATTTACACCCTTTCCCTCAGATCTAGTGTTGCTGTTTGAAACGTGGGATTGTTATTATTGTGTGTTATTAAATTATATTCTTTATACAGCATCTTTTCTGCCAGGAAAATCTCAACCCATCTCTCACTGGGTGGAGTTCTACAGCTTGTTTTATGCAGGATCTCAAACTAGATCAGGGATAGTCAATTGTTTTTTGCTCAGGTCCAAATTTCTTGGTCAGGGTAAAGTGAAGGTCCAGACTCCAGAGAAAATTATACAAAAATAATAACAATAATGATAATAAGTAAATAAAGAGATTTCTGAATCCGTTCAAAAGCATCTGGCAGTCTGGATTTGGCCCACAGTCCACCTACTCACTATCCCTGGACTAGATGATCAGCATAGGCCCTTCTGGCCTTGAAGTTTATGAAGCTAAGAAAAACTTGGGGGGCAAATTTTAGGCCCTTGAATCCATATTTAGGCACGTAGATCAAATCTTATTTCTTCAGGGAACCTTATATATTGGCAAATATAAGCCAGAAATTAACATAATTTAATACATACCTATTATATTACACACCAACACAATACATCCATATTCCATTATACATACCCCTTTCCGCACACACACAAGTTAGTGTAAAATGTGTCCTCTGCTAAAACTGACAATTAAAAAATACAATGGTGATAAAGTCTCCCATGACATCCCCTTTGGAGTTACACACACAGTGGAACGTGGGTATTGTGACACAGGAGGAAAGCTGATAATCATTTCAGTGAGCTGCATTGGGAGAGTGTCCAACCTGTTAGGGTGAACCTGTGTGCACTGCCAAGTTGGTTAGTAAAGCTTCCCTACAAGAAGGTTCCACCGTCCTGTGTTATGTTTTCAGTCAGCAGGACCCAAGCTGGAAATGAACTTCCCCAAAATTTGCCACAAGAGGGCAGAATTTCATTCATAAAACAGCAAAGAGAGTGATACAGGTACCATATATAAGGCAACAAAAAACAGCAGCACTGCTTGTTTGTGTGTATGAGGTTCTATGGGCGGCTGACAGGATTACTGCTGAAGTATATTTAGGACTGCATTGCCTCAGAGAGGTTGGTCCTGGATCTACAGATTTTACAGCGACAAACACAGTGACTCAGTAAGTTTCTACAGCATTAAGGCCTAGGTCCTGGTTTCTATTTAGGGTAGGACTAGAGGAGGAAATGGCTCTTTGCTTGTTTGCCTTGCTTGTTATACAGAACTTGGGATTCATATAGGTCTGTTGTGCAAAGCGTTCCATCTCTGTTGTTTGCAACTGGCACTTAGCCTTGACCAAAATTCCTGACTCCGAGGGAAAACTACAGCGAGCTCTCATTCTGCATGGGCTACACTGTCTTGGAAGCTGGGCAGAACACAGGTGTCAGTGATTAATACACCAACAGGTTAACTTGAGGCAAGTTGGAATGTGCACTGCAGAGACGCTAAAGTATGATAAGCTCAGGAAAGCCAGCAGTGGGCCAGGGTGCTGAGTCATAGTGGCACAATTAATGCCACATCCCATGCAGAGATGCGCATTCACGCTTCACCGCTAAGGAATCTCTGGCACAGAACAGATCCCTCAGCCTGTTTTCAAACACACCAAAGTACGAGCCTGAAGTATCTTTCTAGGTGAGAAGGCTCTCCCTCACCTCCTCCAGCCTCTCGATACTGGCTTTCAGACAAGGGACGCAGGATCTCAGCTCGCTGTTCTCGTCCTCCAGCTGCTGCAGTCTGTGGCAACGAATGAACACACTTAGAAACTCCGCTACTAGAGCCCTGAGACTAGAGAAAGTCATGCAAGCAGCAAAAATAACAAGAGCATATTAGTGAAGACCGGAGTGTGGATGTAGACTGAGGATGGACTCTGCCTTTGTCCACCCCACTCCTCCTCACCAGTAATCACGGGGAAGGAGGAGACACCTACCCAGACTTAGCTGGAGTTGTTTGAAGCCCTCTGCCTAATTTTTGCCTGCTGTGACAGATATCTCACCCCCAAGGCACCAGGCCATCCTTCAGGCTCAGCACTGACTACCTTCATTGCCCCATAGTAGCAAATCCCAGCTCTGGGCACCAAAGGGTGAAACTTGTTATCTGAGCACAGGCTCTTTGCATTCCAATTATTTCCCCCATTTTTGATGCCTCTCCTCTCGGTATTTTTCCCTCAGAGGCCAAGTGCCAGGGATTGGCACACAGCAACCCGGAGGAGTCCAGAGATGGCCTCACCTAGTGCCCCAGATTCAGATCTCTCAAATTCACATGGGTAGTCTTCCTCCTATATTATCTTCCTGGTCCTTTCTTGTCATTCATGGCCAGTTAGGACTGAGCAAGAATGAAACGTTCTGCATTTGCTGAATCCCTAGTGAAAACCGCCCAGCCAGAGAGAAGAGACATCCCTCGCCCAGGACAGGTTGGCTCTGCCCAGGAAGCCAGCCTGAGGGTGTGGGAGAGCCTGCAAGCTGGTGACTGCCTGATGCGATCAGTCACTAGGAGCAAGGGTATTACTCAAGCTGGTTTTTCAGCTCAGATCTCCCCATGCTGCTGTTACAATTCCTCTGGGACAGCCCCAGACAGTGCTGTGGCTCTGTTCCTTCTAGAATAACCAAACACTGCTCAGACGCTTCTGTAACTGCTCCTCCCTCTCAGGGCTGTTCAGGCGGAGGAAAGCTGTAGTCCTCGCCTTGGGCTCATGCCTGTTGAAGTCAAAGGCAGAATTGACTTCCCTGGGAGCAGAACAGATATTTTGTGCATGTCTTTGCGAAGCTGACTCATGTGACAATGTCAAACTGAGCTCCAGGGACTAGTCATGCGAACGGGCAGGAGGTTCAAGCGAACACCCTCGTTATTCACACTGTTAGGGGCGGATCAAGAGGGAGCAGGCATGAGCTAATGGAATTCAAATGGAAAGTTCTCTCTGGCTGGAGACAACTGTCAAAGGTGAGTTAATTTACTACTTTGGGACAAGAGGAAGGAGGTAGTCAAAACCAGGGTTTAGAATTACATGGGGGCCAGCTTTATTAGAGACAGCATAGCCATGGCTGGAGTTTATTCTGGAAACTCACCCACAGCTGTGTTCTAGTTGTCACTGATTAGTGATACACCCCCAAAGCGTCACCATGTGGAGGATATGGCAGCTGTACCAACCTGGCTTGCAGATTCTCAATCTCAATACTCTTCTCTCTCTCCATCCTGGTCAGGAGCTCTCTTTGTTTTCTGATTTCCTCTAGGAGCGTCTCATCTGCTTTCAACTCTTGCTCCTTCAGCTGTTCCTCCAGGGCATTAGCTCTTTGGAGAAAAGGAAAGAAGGGGTTTAGCCAAGTCTGACATTACACAGCTGTCCCATTGGCATTCAGATATTTTAGGGAGAAGGATGTCCTCCTTTCTTTTCACCCTCCTCCCCTCTTCCTCCTATTGCAAAGCCAGTAGAAGCCACCATGGAGTTCGAGGATCATCATAAAAGGATCAGCATCTGTACAAGACAAAGAACAGGCACCTGCAAGGCACTTACAGACACCTGGGGGAAAGCAGCTAGCACATCCTCACAACCATCCAATCCCTGAGCACTCTGTGATGCTGAACCACTTGGAAGCCACTGCCTATTTGGCATTTAAATCACTGGGAACCCAGGCAATGGATGCTGGTATCCTATCATCGCAGGTTTCTACAAGCTTCAGTGGTCACATTAAAACTAACCAAAAGGAGGAATGAAGCGAGGATTGAGAAGAAAACAAAGTAAAAGATTATCTTAAAACTTGTGTCTTAGTAGGTAGCAGAGTCAGAGTACTGCACAGAATAAACTACTGAGGCTAATTACTCTAATTAATTAATTATCTTCCTTTTCACCTGGATTTGTAGTGGAGTATGAAATTCACATGCCACTTATGGGTAATTCCTTTGGGCACCAGCATCAGTGATAATTGTATAGCTCTAGGAATACAATATTTGGCTGTCTGCAGGTTGCCAATAAATTAAGCAGGGCCTACATAACAATGATTATTTAATTGTTGCAGAGAAATATTATAATACAAGACAGAGAGGATGTTTAATAGATGTTGGGATTTGTAAGACTTCTAGCATCTTAATTTTAAATTAAATCAAATCTAGGACCTAAAGAAAGTGACCATTTCCCTCTGAATTCTCAATCACCAGGGGAGTATGGAGGGTTATTTTTCCAGGCCACATCCATAACTGGCAAACATTTTTAATGTCACATGGTTCTCAATGGAGCACACAAGTCTCAGAAGACATTCAAGCAGTGGACAGATGTTTGCTGTTAATCTGCTCCCTCAAACCTGTCCTTGGAAGCAGGTGAATAAATAGTGCATAGAGTGGCTGTCATTTTATGACCTTTGATTACATTACTGTAAAGCTGCTTTTGCTTCCCAAAGCAGTGCACTATGAACCATCTTCAGCATCAGCAGCTGGGAAGCTGCAGTTTGCTTGGATATTGTTTTGTTATAGAGCTTATAAAAACACAGGACAAAAGCATGCAATGCAAACCTCTGATAGAGGGACACATTTTTCTAACTGATCAACTTGTTACCTAAGCCCTTTATTTGGATAAAAATAATTAATCCGTCTGGGCTACGTGATTAAAGCACTCAAGGGGGAGTTGTGTGTATTAAGGAAAACATCTTGTTACTGTGAAGTTTATCAGGGCTTAGGAAAACCTTTACTTGAATCACTGTTGTCCATGACACACATACTACTTAACAATCGTATAGTCCAGGCCTGCACAACATGCGGCCCGGGGGCCGCATGTGGCCCATGTGGGCTCACTGTGCGGCCCGCGGGGGGTGAGTAGGTGGCCTCACTGTGCGGCCCGCAGGGGGTGAGTAGGTGGGCTCACTGTGCGGCCCGCAGGGGGTGAGTAGGCAAGCAGGGGGCTGAGGAGGCAAATGGGCGGGCAGTGGCGGGGGGTGAGTAGGCGAGCTGGAGGGGTGGGGGGCTGAGGAGGCAAGCAGGCAGGCAGTGAGCCGGCGTCAGGGGAGAGGGGTTGTTTTCTTTGGAGTAATATGGCCCCCGCCGCTTTATGAGTTGTGCAGGCCTGGTATAGTCCTATAGATAAACTCTTAATGGCTTTATCTGAGGAGCGTAAACACCCCTGGAGAACAGAAGCCCCTCAGATTAAAAATCCCAGGGGTTAAATAAAATTTGCAGATTTATACTAGTCCCAACATCCAAAAGCAATAGGGGTATTTCGGGGGAAGGAGTGAGGAGTCAGGGACACAGTATAGACCTTCTTTAGCTCCCATTGAAATGCAGGGGTTGAAATTGTGGGGGAGGGATAGCTCAGTGGTTTGAGCATTGGCCTGCTAAACCCAGGGTTGAGAGTTCAATCCTTGAGGGGGCCATTTAGGGATCTGGGGCAAAAATCTGTCTGGGGATTGGTCCTGCTTTGAGCAGGGGGTTGGGCTAGATGACCTCCCGAGGTCCCTTCCAACCCTGATATTCTATGATTCTAAATGAAAGGCCAGAGTGGAAAAAACTAACAGTCACTTTCCCTTCACAAATAGCAATGCTCAATATTATTGTTAATTATTTGTAATGTAGCAGCAGCAGCCAGGGGCCCCAGTGAAGGATCAGGGCCCTATTGCTCTAGGCACTGGACCCACAACAACAACAACAACGACAGCTATCCCTGCCATGAAGAGTTTACAGATTAGGTTATGTGTGGCTGGAGAGATTATTTAGAACTATTGGAACATAAAGCTAGCATTGTTACCAAAAGGTCAGAGACTCAGACCTGACAATCTGCAGATTACCTGAATTTCCAGCAGTTAGTCCGTGGCACAGAAAAGTGCACAGGTGAGGCATGGAAAATGACGCAGAGAAGGCCTTTTGCGAAGGCAGCAGTTTAGATGCCTGCTGGCTTTTGACAGGAATGGAATTTAGAACTGTGAGGGAGGGCAGATTTGCTAAGATTTAATAGTCTCTTCTTTATCTTTCTATTGACTCCTTTTCCACTGGCGTGCTTCCATCACACACTTAACCCAATAGAGGGAGTTCTGAGAACGGCTGCCTTTTCTTTAGAGACAATAACCTTAGAGAAAGTCGCGTGTGTGGCTCCTAATTCACACAGGGAGCAGAGGAAAGAGAACAATTCTAAAATACATTAAGGGCTTCCCTACCCGGTGCAGCAATACACGCTCCAGGGGTGCAAATTGTGAGGTGCACTAAGTAGAAGTCCCCTAGTGTGCACTAACGTTGAAGCAGGGAACTTTTGGTGGATGTCAGCAGGGTCTATGAAGGTCACTTGGCATGCAATGTGTTTGTGTGTGTGTGAGAGAATTCACACTCCTCTAGTGCACACTGTTGCACAGTGCAGACAAGCCCTTAGAAACTCCTCATGAGGATATATGTTTGCTCTTGTGACACAAGCCAAATACCCTCACCTGTGCACCAGCTGCAGGTTTTCATGTTTTAACCGACTGTGCTGCTCTCCATTTGCAGCTGTGTCCTTTTCCAGCTCTGTTACCCTCTTCTCCAGGAAGACGACCTGTGCAAGCAAGAGAGAGGATTCAGATACCAGTATGTTCTTTCAGCTTTATTTCTCTTTCTTACAAGTGCAGGCCAAATGATAGTACTGAGAATTATTTCCACCCTGACAAAACTCAAATGCAACCATTGAAGTAATAATTGAAGAAATTCAATTGGTTGCCTCTAAACTGAACTGTATTTTGCTCGACTTTGAGAGAATCATTATGTTCTGCGCTTCATCATGTCTCACCTATTACTGCTGAAATGTGCCCTAATCTAGAGGAGGTGACCTCATTCTCATTCAAGAAATTTACAAGTAGGCATTCCATTTAGGTACATCTCACAGATTTTTAAAAACACAGTTTGCACTTTGCTAGAATTTAGCTCCTAAATTTTAGAAGTGTTCCATAATACGAACACAGGGCCAAATGCTTCACTGGTGTTTCTCCTTTAAGGTCAAAGGCCACATCAGTGGTTGTCTTCATTAAGTTTTTGAACATTTGGTTCTATAGAGCCAGATCCTCAGCTGGTGGAAATCGCCATAGCTCCAATGGAACTGTGACAACGTATGCCAGCTGAGAATATGTATCACACTACCTCAAAGGGACACTATGTCCCTTTTGTCCTTTTCACAGATGGAGAGAGACAAGGAAAAAGGAATAGACTGTTGCCAAGCCACAGATATTAGAAAGGGGACTCAAGGGCTGGTTTACAACCAGAAACTACTTTAAATTCCTTTTAAACATTGACTAGATTTCACTTTGATGGTGTCCCTTTAAGAGATGCTCCTGCAGAGTTGCACAAAACAAGCTGGATACATTAACTTTCCTTTGGTTATAAAAAAAATCTGCATTTTAGGGGTCTGAATGTTAACTTAGAATTATTTCCTTTCCTCCCCCCGAGTTACATAGCTCACTGCTCTGCTCTCAGCCTTATTAGAAAGGCGATGTTACATGTGCTATCAGCAACGTGTTCTTCAGACCCTTCAACCACTTTGTCAGACTGCGGCACTCAGTGTTGTGACACCATCACTACGGCTGCAGTGAAGAAGACTGAGAATTGTCATTGCGTTTGATAAACAAACAGGAGGTGGGAATACTTTCCTGAGGACAAAGTATCTGTGTAAAAACTAAAGTCATAATTTTTGAGATAAGAACAACAACTAATTCTTTTTTTGGATATGCCCAAAAATGAATTTTACATGTTACTTTAGAGTGAAGGACAAACGATGAACAAATCTATACCAAGTCCATGAATCTGGGGTATAAACCAAATCCTGACAATACTCTAGCCAAATGTTTCAAACCTGGGTGCCTGACGTTAGGCTACTAAATCTGTCTTTGGGCTCAGAATGGCCAGAAATGCTGAGCACCCATAAACCCCACTGAGGTGAAGGGGAGCTGCAGGAGTTCAGCCCCTCGAAGCCAGAGCACTTTGAAACAGGAGCTGAATTTCAGGCTGTGATGTTATTGACATAATCTGGGACCATATAGAATATGGTTGCAACCAAAGTCCTGTAGTTGCACCAAATCTTGTATAAAGGGGGTCAAATGAGATGTCTAAGACAAGGTTATGGTTTGTTGGTTATGATATGCTGTCTATATGTGTGTATCAATTTTGTAGTTGAAGTTATGAATATTGGCTCTATACTGTCTGTATTTCAAACTTATGCTATGCTTCTTGGAAACTTCCTAGACAAGTTGGTGTTAGCTCTGCCTCGCCTGCTTGATGGCCCATTAAGGACCATCAGCTATACAACTGACCCATTGAGAGAAGGCAAATACACCTTGCAACTCAGCAAAGTATGTAGGGACTGGCCTATGTGACTCCAGACTCCATTTTGCTGTAATTTTCCACAGTAAGGACAAAGAGATGTTCTTACACCTGGAAAAGACTATAAAAGACTGATGCCTCAACTACATCTGGTCTTCAATCCTGCTTCTTACCTCTGGATGGACTTTGCTACAAATGGAAGCTCTACACAAAGGACTGAATGACCCATCCCAGCTGTGGATGTACTCCAGAGACTTGATTTGAATCTGCAGTTTATTCTATCACTGCTACAAGCCTAGGGTGACCAGATCACCCAGTCAAATATCGGGACACGGGGTGGGTGGGTGGGGGGAGAGCAATAAAATAAAATAAAAAAACAAAACAGTGGCAGAGCAAAAAAACAACCCCTCCCCCCGCAAATGCTAGAGGGAGGCCCCGGAGATGCAGGGGGAGCGCGGGGCCGGGGTGAATGAGAGTCCGGCCTGGCCCCAAGCGCAGGCAGGACTCAGTCGGGCGGTACCTGGAGGGAGAGTAGAGGGGCAGCCCGCGGGGCCAGGCGGCGGCTGTTTTCCCCACCTGGGCAGCGGGACTCGGGAGCAGCCGCTGTTGCAGCTCCTACTGCCGTGGCCGGAGGAAGCGGCCATGGCACTCTGTGGCTGAGGCGCCCGGGCCCGAACCTGTGCCTGTTGTGGGGACCCAGCAGCGCACACGCTGCGCGTGCCCAGCCCCTGGCTAGTCGCGTCTGGGCTGGCTGCCCAGCTGGTGCAATCCTGCAGGCGGCCCCAGAGTGGGGGCGGGTGGCCCCAGCCCCCCCGTCCCGCTTGGGTCCCACAGGGGAACGAATGGTGCTGGGCTGCCGATACCTCCACCCCAGGGCCGCCGTGGGATTGCACCAGCTGGGCAGCCAGCCCAGACACAATTGGCCACGGGCTGGGCGCAGCGTGCGCGCTGCCGGGTCCTCGCAACCGGCCCGGGCTCATGGGGTTCAGGCCCGGGCTCCAGAGCCACAACTGCCGAGCGCCATGGCCGCTTCCTCCCCCCGCAGCAATGGGAGCTGCAGCAGCGGCTGCTCCCGAGTTCCACTGCCCAGGTGGGGAGATCAGCCGCCACCTGGCCCCACGGGCCGCCCCCCCTACTCTCCCTCCAGGTACCACCCGACTGACTCCTGCCTGCGCTCGTGGCCAGGCTGGACTCTCACTCACCCCGGCCCCGCGCTCCCCCTGCGTCTCCAGGGCCTCCCTCCAGCGCTTGTGGAGGGAGGAGAATGGCATGCTTGCGGAAGAGGCGGGGATTTGGGGAGGGAGCCAATGGGGGAAGGAGGTGACGGAGTCGGGGCAGGGGGGGCGCAAGCCCTTCCGGGCTCCGGTGCCTTTGCTTGTTTGTCCAGTGTCCCGACCTAACATTGGTTGGGACACGGGACAAACAAGCAAATATCGGGATAGTCCCGATAAAATCGGGACATCTGATCACCCTATACAAGCCTGAACCAAGAACTTTGCCATTACTGTATGTAATGGATTCCATTTAACCAATTCTAGCTCTCATCTATATCTTTTTCCTTTTATGAATAAACCTTTAGATTTTAGATTCTAAAGGAGTGGCAACAACGTGATTTGTGGGTAAGATCGGATTTGTATATTGACCTGGGTCTGGGGCTTGATCCTTTGGGATCGAGAAAACCTTTTTTCTTTTATTGGGGTATTGGTTTTCATAACCATTTGTCCCCATAACTAGTGGCACTGGTGGGGATACTGGGAAACTGGAGTGTCTAAGGGAATTGCTTGTGTGACTTGTGGTTAACCAGCGGGGTGAGACCAAAGTCCTCTTTGTCTGGCTGGTTTGGTTTGCCTTAGAGGTGGAAAAACCCCAGCCTTGGGCTGTAACTGCCCTGTTTTAAGCGATTTGTCCTGAATTGGCACTCTCAGTTGGGTCCCGCCAGAACCACATCATTACACAGGCATCTAGGTGTGAAAATTTTGGCCTGTGTATAAATGAGACAGTATAAACGATTCAGTTCTATGAATTACTAATGTGCTGTCAAATGCACAAGAAATGTGTATATGTATGCATATATATTTATTTCTCTGTCATACCCACAGCTAAACTCGTCTTCCTATTCAGGATGTCAGAATTAAGGAGCAGTTTTAAAGAGGTATTTTCACACTGGGGCAAACATTTACACAAAGCACAATTCACTTGGCTTGGAGTTTTCCATATTCCCTCGGCTATTTTTAGCTATTGATGTTTGAGTAAAGCTTTCCTTTCCCGAATGCAGTTTCTCCTCCTCCTGCCACATGATCCTTTGCTCATAAACTCCCCAGTAAGTTAACGTGGAATGAAATAGAGATGTCACAAAGTCAGCATTTATAGCCTCACTGCAGGACAAATTCTGAGCAGAACAGGCATGAGCGAAAGACAGGAAGTTCCTGTTTCAAGTCAAATAGCTTTGCTTCCTAGGAAGAGTAGCATTAGACAGCAGTGTATATAGCATTGGGAAACAATTACAAAATAAGTTGGTTTAAAATATATTTCTCAGTATTAGTATTGCTCTATGAATGGTTGCTCTATGACCAACTTCAAATACAGTGTATGCAAATACTGTACATCTTACCACCTGTGTCAGTGACATCATTCATTCAGACTAAGGCCATGTCTATATGTACAGCACTGCAGTGGTGCAGCTGTACTGATGCAGCCACACCATTGCAGTGCACCTGGTGAGACATTCTAGGATGACGGGAGACCATAAAAACCATCTCCACGAGCGGCAGAAGCTCTCCTGCTGACATAGTGCTGTGCATACGAGCGTGTATGTCAGTGTCACTTATGTCACTCGGGGGGTGGTTTATTCACACGCCAAGTGACATAAGGGATGCTGATGAAGCCTGAAACAGAGGGACAGATCTCTTCCCCCTGCCAGCATTATAAGAGGTTACAGAACACAGAGCATTGTTTAGTCAACTGTAGAGGGCCAGGAGGAGCCACAAGCCATTTACCATGAAGCAATCTTCAGCCCAAGCTGTGCAACGAGCCTCAACACCCACTGAAAAGCCTGGAATTCGACCTCCCAACCTGAACACAGCAACACACTATGCCTTTTCTGATCATTTTGTCAAATCACAACCCCCAGTCAGTACAGAATGCTTTGAGTTAACCGTCTGTTCCCAGTAGTTATCTACCCAGTGTCAGCCGGCATTCAATAATAGCAAGTAATTAACACCTCGCATTTCCCCAGCAACTTTTGTCCCAGGACCTTGAACCATGGTAAACCATTATTTACTCCATGCAGAAATGGGTACTCTTCTACCTTCTTCATTAATGAGTAGGCTGATGCACAAAGAAATGCCTTGCCCAAGAGCACCCAGTGCATCAAAGAGAGTCAGGAACAGAACCTGGGTATCCTGTCCTCTTGGTTTAACCACTAGGAGCATGTGCTCCCTCCTCCCAAAGGAAAACCACTCGACGGCAAAGATAAGCTTAGTGGGACACTCAGAAGCTATTCCTCCATTAAAACTTCAGAGGCAGCTGCAATAGCATTCATACCTTGTCAGTGATGTCCTCATCCGCACACTCCATGTGGTCATAGAAAGGTTCTTCCATAGCATCCGCAGTCAGGGTGCCCGTCTGATGTAAGTGCCTTTATCCGAGACAGACCAACCCAACCCAAAGCAAGATGACCATTAGAGAGAACATTGCAGAAGGAAAAGTATAATTTCTTATACAATTTCTCTCAACTCCTCACCCCTTCTCCTGCAGGAGACATTGGGCCATCACTCTCTTTTGGGTGACAGTAAGTGAAGATGATTAAACAAGGAGGCTATCCTGGCAAAATAGCGATTCTATCGAGTAGCGGGCCTCACTTGCACCAAATGATGCTCTGACAAGCCAACAAGAGTCAGTATCCCACAACACCTCAGTACTGCCGAACTATGGGGCAGGAATCTTCACTAGGTTTGTGACTTGTAGTGAACAGCACCTGGCTGTCAGAGGGGAAATGGACAAGTAGCATTGGAACTTGGTGCTAACACTTCTTATTCTTGCTCTTTGGAATATGGAAAGAGCTTACTTTCCACACTTCATTTCGTTTTGAACTTAACATTTATATTCCAGAGCAGCAGGACTAAAAGTACTCTGCTCTCCCCAGAGATAAAGCCAGAAAGGAATGGGGAGTGAACTGAGCTTGTGAAATACACACTCAACTCCAGCTCCCCAAGTGGGAGACTAGTAAATCATTAGCCATGACTTATAACACTTGGGTTTTTGTTTTCTTTCAAAGGACACTGTTCAAAATCAGTCTAGACATTCACCCTGTAATGTAATGACATGTGTTCTACAGGAGCTGAGCGCGGTATTCCACCGTAGTGGGGGTGGGAAGGGGGAAAGCAGAATTATTACAACCTTGAATAATTAAAAAACACAGGATTTACATCAAGAACTATAGATATAGAGAGAGCTGAGGATACACAGACTATAGTTTTACTGGCTCTCTCTCTGGAGTTTTTACATGAGCCTGTAACTAGTTAGTAACATGGGTGTATTATGGCTTGTGTCCCCACACACTATGGTTAATACACTGTTAGTAGCATAGGTGCTGGAGATGGGGGGTGGGGTTAAGGGGAATGGGAGGAGCAAAGGGCCATTACCTCCTCACTTTTTAAGCAGGGGGAACCATATACCCCCACTTTTGAGAATCTGAACTGGGCAGGTCACAACCAGGGGACGGGGGCAGGAACACAGCCCCTCCCTTGGCCCGTGACCAGAGCATGGAAGCATTATGATGGAGGGGCAATATATTAATAGATTTTAGCTACTTAAATGGTCACAAAGTATTGGGCATTCTCAAAACTAAAAAAACATTTCTTGAGAAGGCTCCCAGTCACAAAAGATGATGGTAGTTCCTTTGGTCACTTCTGCTGAACCAAGGGAGTTAAAAGTAAACAGAGCTAATCTGAATCCCTGAAGACAATCTTCTTTAAGCAAGTAGCATCCTAATTCTTAATCTGGTCTTTAAGTACTAAGTAACTGGCCCTTCAGTATGATGACTCTATTCAGAAAGAAGGCACAGAATGGATCCTCTTAGAGTTTTAACATAGGTCGGCTCTGCCTTTTTCCCTACTGCTTTCTACAAAAACATTTAATATTTTGAACTAAAGGTCTGGGACACATCCTTGGAAAACACCTCAGTGTTGGATGACACGGTGTCAGTAAGATGTCAAGCACACCATGCAAACCAGGCAGAATGATTATAAAATAGTTATTGACCATAGAGAGAAAGGATCTCTCCTACTGGGAGAAATTTAGGGTTTGTGAACGAGAGCCCCTGGTCTACATTCGAAAGCTATTCTGTTCTGGTCCCACCAGGAAGGTGTATGCATCCAGTCAGAATCAAGAAGGGTTGTGGTTTTTTTTAAAAAGCATCACAATATCACTGAACTACTTTATGCTCTTAATGAGAGCTCAACAAGTAGCACATGGAAGAATAACTTTCCAGGAAGAGGTCCGTTTGCTTAAGCAGAGAACCTCTGAATTTGTGACTCTGACTCCAGCCAAATTTCTAGGTATGAAAATACCTAGAATTGTGATCTTGGATCCAGTACTCCAAAACTTTAAAATATCACATGAGAACAAACAAGAATGAGAGGATGGCAAGGGGGCAGCTTAATCTTAAATTAAAACTCCCTGATGGTACCTGAAGCAAATGGAAGAGAAACAACTTAATTGAGTGAGAGAGTGCTCAGAACCTCTGGAGTCACACAAAGTCAAATTATAAAGGCTAGTCTTAAATAGGAAGCCTGGAAACTTGCCTTCTAGCTTAAAACCACTAAAAAAGCAAAAAAGTTTCTAACAAATAGCTTGAAAGTGAGACTATGGGAACCATGAAATGTAATACTCAAGACCCATTTCCCCACCAGCGAGAAAGAACCGAGTCTGGAAACGTTTGCTGGTTACAGGAAAAATTAAGAAGAAACAATGTGGGAAAACAGCTGGAAAATATTTCCAAAGAACTCCTGAGCTGATGAAAGCAGGGCAGGGAATCTGTTTCCCTAGGATAAGCCTGACATAGACCTAATCTCCAGCCCTTCCCTTGATTCCAAACCCAACAGATTCACGGGGAGTGAAGATTTCTTGGAATTTGTTCCAGAGCTTGACTGACCCACTCAGGAATGCTGCTATGTAAACAGACTCCTGGGATCTGAGAATACACATTTCTAGAGGGTGCCAAATCATCACACAGACTGTTCAAAAGACCAGCCCATGTTTCCCAAACATCCCAACCAGACCTGAAACTAGAGAGACCTGGAAACAAAAGAGTATGTGTAAGAACAGCAGAAACCTTCCTCTTCCCTAAATCCTCTCTCTGAGTATCAGGGAACAATGTATTTGAGTCTTACATTAGATTTCCAAAAATCCTAGAGAGGGGTGTCAGTAAAGATTATGCCAGAGAATGAACACACGAAAATAAAAAAGGCAGGTTTGGACAGCTAGAACAAACTTTTTCCTTCAGCTATAGAAAAGAAACACCATGGAAAGAAGTATTAAAGCCAACCCCCTCAAGGAAAAGATACGAAACCGACAAAATGCTATCAAGACTCAATGATCTTGCTTCCGAGAGAATTTCAGAGCAAATGTGGTGTCTGCCTTTTTGTTATACAGGGAGAAGGTCTCATAGCTTCATTGGCTAGTTGTTACAAATTTCCTCATGCAACTCCGCTGGAGAGACAGGGATCCTTAAAGCATTACCCAAGCAGATCCTGGCCCTTCAGCGTTCCAGGATTCTTGAAAACAAGATGAACTGTTTGGGAAAATTTGCACTCTCACGTGACAGTGATGAAAGCATTATGTCCAGAATGAACTGCTTCCTCCCATCCCCCATTATTGGGAACCTAAATACCTTGTGAAAATAAAGCAACAGCCCAGTCAGAGTGCTTCCTTTAACAGATCATTGCAAGAATCAGAGACAAGGGCTTGCCTAGATGGGGAAATTTACCAGCAAAATTATATCACTACCATTATACCTGTATAAGTAGAGAGGTAAATTTCCACATGTAGGCAAGCCCTAAGACAGTCCCTATACCACAGGAAACATATGCAATAATATAAAGCCACAGTTGGGGAGAGTAGCTCTGCCCCTATGTTTAAGAATTCCTAAGGAGTCCATGAAACAACGTGTGGAAGAGATGAAGAGCAAGTCTCATGGCATCCATGAAGTCAAACAGGGAGGAGCACAACTCGAAATATGGCAGAAGCAAAACAGAAACAGTGAATCTGTCTGCGTGGACTGGTGTTTTAGTGGTGTGGCAAAGGCTTAATTTCTGACTGGATGCATCTACTCAGCTGACCGGGCAAGGGCTCACTCAACTGTCTAGGCTAGTGATACAGAAAAGCACGTACATCAGTAACTAGGAGTTTTCAACATGGGCAAAGTCTCCTGCAGACTCTCATGCTCTGGGCATCCATAGACTGGGGGTCTGCGAGGACAACCTGGGAGAAGTCACGCGTAAGTCAGTCTCCAGAGGTGAATGCATTCTGAAAATATCTTTTTAATGATTAAAAAAAAAAATCTTTAAAATCTATAATGTGAATTAAAATTGCCGTCCATTACACACTGCAGAAACTGTACTGTACATTTCTCTAAAAGTAAAATTTTGCACATTTTGTAGATAGCTGTAAGCCCGTTGTACATGCAACAACCTACACAAGCATATTCCTTAATGACAACAAAAGGATAATAAAAGTATCAGCGTACCTTGCTACCTTCTTGCTTGAGAGTCTTTTATTTGGACTGTGAAATGAACAAAAACAACAGGAAAACAGAGTCAGGAAAACTGAGAGTGAAGAGCAAGGGGAAACAGGAAACAAACTAAGCAAGAGTGACAGGGGCCATATCCTTTACAATTAACACCACAGCACGGCACACACAAGGCATGCATTACTCAGCTTCTCTGAGGCAATCTCCATGTAAAAATCCAGGTAAATTTGCACACATTTAACAACATGTCAAGATGAATTGGAACATACAGCACTTGTCATTGCTGCAGAAGTTTCAATGGGTCCAGCAAAGTGCTCTCTCTTTTAACTTGTTGATTCCAGTCCTGAAAGCAGATCCCTAGGAAAAATGCTAATAGAAGAATTGAGCTTGGTGGGACTCAGACCCGTTACAAATGGACTGTAGCCCGAAATACACTTGATCCACCTGGCAGCTTGTGCAGACAATGAGCCCATCTCTGAAAGAAAACACTGAAATATCCTGCTGCAAATACAAGCAGAAGGACTGTACTAGAAACACAAGTATGGAGAGCAAAAAATAATAATTAAAAAGCAAACAGCTCAATGAACTATCCTCTGTATTTCATCAACTCCAAACAATTATAATTTTACTGAATTGTGTTTGACATCGGACATAACAACATAGGTTGACATACGACTGGCTGGCTGCTTGTATTTCAGACTGGGACTTCCCCAGATTTTGGGGGTTGATTTGTTTGACCTTTTCTTCTCTCCCTCCCTCATATGCAGCTGTGTTCGCATCTAAAATCAGGAAGACTAGATTTTAAGCAAGATAATGTTTCAAGTACTAGAAATAGGTGCATTCATAAGCTATATTTAGCAGCAGCTAACAGAGTCGTCTCTTACAGAATTGTATTTTCTTTTAAAATACTTAGCATGCTATCCCAACATAGGCTATAAGGACATATCAACATTAACATCATGCTGCACAGCTTTAATGTCCTGATATAGTGACCCTCTCTTAGTGCATAGCTCACCTATGATGATGAAAAGCACCTGGTCACAGGACCTCTTTGCTCACAACATAACAGATTAATACTTTCTTCACATCAGCCACTTGCTATTTGCCACTTCAAGTGATTTTAAAAGTCATGATTTATCTATTTTTTTCCTCTTTTAAGTTTACTAACATGCAACCAAAATTAGGACTAGTTACTGCATAATGTGCCTCAAATTTCTTTACATATATTTTGTATGCTATTGTAATCAAGTGGTTGCTTAAAAAAAAATCAGCTTCCTCCAGAATCTTCTCTCTTTCTCCTTTATTCACTCCCCTTGTCCCAAGTTTGGGAAATAATGGCTTTAATTTCCCTCTGCAACTGGATTCTTCAAAACCATGATCACATGGAAACCTGCAAGAGGATGAACTGGGACACTCCAGCGTCTACCACTGCACAAACAGAGATGGCCTCATAGGAAAGGAGACGGATTAAAATCTAAACAGAACCTTGCTCCCACCCAGAGCAATGCTACTGTATGAGAAGCGAGGTTGTCAATTTCTAAAGTTCTGATGCTTGCAACATGGTATCCCCATGTACAGGGAACTACTATAGTTAATGAGATGTTGCAGATGATATGGAGCATTTATAATTAGGTATTTTCCAGAAACTGGTAGAGGTTTAAAATTTTTGCCCTTTATTCTACTCAACTGGCCAGAGTGACTTGCTGTCCCAAGCACTGAGCAAGCCAGCACCACCCTACAGCTTTTATGAAACAGCCTGGATCCTCAAAGCAATTAGACCAGCTCTCTTCCCTCAAATCACAAAGACCTGCTAAATACCTCCCTCTCCTTTCAGGCAAGGGAGGGAGGCAGAGGGAGAAAAGAGGAAGGATCGGGGGCTACAGAGGAAACTCCTTTACAGAGAGGGAGGGTCTGAGTCACTCATTCAAAAATTTAACTTTTCTTACAAACCTATTCCCCGTTCTCACTTTCCAACATCTCCTGACATTTTTAGGAAAGATAAAAGATCTATTTAATTAGTCAAGCCCAGTATCATCAAAAAGATGGAACGTTCATTCCCCCACTTTCTCCTAATTTAAAAATGTAAAAGAGAAAGAAAAATAGAAATTAATAGATCTGCATCTATATGTTCACATGCAAGGAGTAAGTAACTGGGCCAGTTTTATTTATTTTATTGTTGCTATAGTATCACTAAATTAGGGATAAAGTAAATGTTTTTTCCCCCCAAAATGTGGGGAGTTCTGAAAAAAATTCTCAAAATAAGATATTGGTGGGAGTTACACTCCAAGATCCAGAAACTTAAAATGAACAATTGGCTGAGCAGAGAGGAAAGGCAATGGACATAAAATGTAGATCACTGACTCCAAGAGGTGAAATGCTTATTTTACCCCTTAGAAGGAGGAACTAAAAATAGCTTGAACCGAATCAACTCACAAATAGTTTCTGGGAAGCACTGGCTGATCATGCTTTTCAAGCTAACTGGTTTCCTAATCGTGGTTTTGACAGTGAACTTTTGACATTTCTATTGAGTGAAGGAATCACTTTTGGCGAGATTTCAAGGATTCTGGAAACCTGCTTCCCCTCTCTGATGGAAAGGGGCTAGATACTGCTTCTCCAGAACTTGTGAAGGAAAAAAAAAATCAATGCATGTCACTTGTATCTGAGGGAGATTAATCTGTTTTTCTTCACAAATGGCTGATCAAAAGTGTATCTGGGCATCTTTGGATCCATGGCCTGAGAAGCCACCTGGCATGGGAGGTGCATCTATCCACAAAAGGTATTTCAAGTTTATCTACCTATTGCAATGGTTGGGTAGAAGCAGTTGCAGCTTGGTGGCAGACTAGGGTTACCATATTTCACAAATAAAAAAAAGAGGACCCTCCCCGGGGCCCTGGCCCCGCCCATTTCCCACCCCACCCCCGCCCAACTCCGCCCCTCCCCGCGCCAACCCCACCCTAACTGCGCCCCCTCCTCCCTCCCACTCCCAGCCACGTGAAAAGGGCTGCCCGAGCGCTACCGACTTCACGGTTTGCTGGGCAGCCCCCAGACCCTGCGCCCCCGGCCGGCGCTTCCCCAGCGCAGCTGGAGCGCGGGAGGGGAAGCGCCCAGCCGGGGGCGCAGGGTCTGGAGGCTGCCCGGCAAACCGTGAAGCCGGTAGCGCTTGGGCTTCAGGCAGCCCCTATGCCTCCGGACCCTGCACCCCCGGCCGGGCACTTCCCCTCCCGAGCTCCGGCGGCGCAGGGTCCGGAGGCATAGGGGCTGCCCAAAGCCCAAGCGCTACCGGCTTCACGGTTTGCCGGGCAGCCTCCAGACCCTGCGCCCCCGGCTGGGCGCTTCCCCTCCCGCGCTCCAGCTGCGCTGGGGAA